CAACATGGATGCTCCTGGAGAATGTCATTCTAAGTGAAGTAAGCCAGAAAGAGAAAGAAAAATACCATATGAGATCGCTCATATGTGGAATCTTAAATAAATAAATAAAATAAATAAATAAATACAAAAGAGAAACAGACTCATAGACATAGAATACAAATTTGTGGTTGCCAAGGGGGTGGGGGGTGGGAAGGGACAGACCGGTAGTCTAAAATGCAGAATAGATAAACAAGACTATACTGTATAGCATAGGGAAATATATACAAGATCTTATGGTAGCTCACAGCGAAAAAAAATGTGACAATGAATATATATATATGTTCATGTATAACTGAAAAGCTGTGCTCTACACTGGAATTTAACGCAACATTGTAAAATGACTATAACTCAATAAAAAAAATGTTAAAAAACAAAAGAAATAGGACTGACTTCTGTGGCTCATAAATGGTTTCTGAAGGTAATCCCAAAGAAAGACAAACATGTAAACAATGGCCACATCATTGACCTAAGAGCACAGCTCCCTAAGGAAACCATTTGGAAGGATAGATAATAAAGACCCAGATGTAACTTCAAAAAAAAAGGACTAATACAGACATGCAAAGGAATACTAGGTAGCCAGTAAAAATTGTTGTTGACTTTAAAAAAAAAAGAAAGAAAAAGAAATAAGATTGGACACATTCCAAAATAAAAGCTTAACTCATCATTTCTGTTATAAAATTCTCCTGTGTGTTCATGTGTGTGCGTGCGTGCGTGTGTGTGCATGTGTGTTTGTATAATTCCTGTCGTTAAAAAATATGGAGTCTTTATATTTCATGTTGCTTTCTCTAACTATGCCTTTCTGTAACTCACAGTCCCAGAAAACCACCTAGCCCCTGCTATATTTATAAGTATTTAAGCTGATTGTGTTTAACTTACCTCCTTTATTTGAGAAGACAGCTGATCACTTAATATGTACTAGATAATACTTAATACATTACAAGAATTCTGTGAATCTGACTACACCAAAAGTTTCTTGCTTATTATCGTATGTTTAATCATTCAGTCACTAATTTAATAAACTACATCAACCTCACACTGTGGAAATGGAGGCATTCTGACATACCACAAGAACACAGGCTTCAGAGAGAGAGATCTCTGTTTGAATCCTGACCCTTTTACTACTAGCTGAGTGACTTCGGACAAGTCAGTAACTTTGGCCCCATCAATTTCCTAATCTTTAAGATTAGGATATTACCACCCACACCCACATCTGCAAGTGTTGAGTAAAGTGATGATTATGCAGTGTCAGGTGCACCACAGGTGCTAGAAAATGTTAGTTCCTTCTTTCCCAGCAAGAACTCTTAGCTGTCCATTCCAACCTCTTTGACACTACTTATAAAGGTTCCTCTTCCAGGAAGCTTGATATTTAGAAGCATTTCGGGAGTTTCTCCACCTTATTGACTCTCCATCTATTTTCAAAAGTGATCTGCCTCTAGCTCCTCATCTCCCTCATCTGCTTTCTTCATAATTTGGCAGTGGTACTACTCCAGTATGAAAAACAGGTGGATGTGGAGCAGGTAGGGCAACCTGCCCCTACACTTCCCCGAGGGCGCTGGCAGGGAACTGGCTGATCCTGAGCTGTACGCTCGTCCCCAAAGCTGCCCGCATTGCAGCAGCGGCCTCCACATTCACTAGCTTACTCTCAGCTCAAGGCACATGCTCCCTGACAAACAACTCAGGTATCTAAACAGATTTCATCCCAGATTAAACTGAGGACATCAAACATCGGTTGTTTACTTACAGAACTTGCACTCGGGAAAATGAAAAGCTGTGAGTTTTCAGTTGGTAAAATAATCAAGGAAAATACAGCTCCCTTTCCGACTCACAAGTAAGAAATCTCTTTATAAGAGAAAATGGGGGTTAAAAAATTGTTATTTCATGGGTGAATTTCATCTATCTGTGAACTTTATTTTTTTAAAGGGGGACGAGTGATGAACTCTTCATATTGAAGTGAAACAGGCTGTGACAGTCAGGCCTGGGTAGTTGGCTCCCGGAGCAGGCTGCTATTTCATTCTCCTGACAACTCCTGAAGCCTCGTAGGACTCAGTGGATGGTACCCAGTTTAAGGTCACAACAGAACAGATTGCAAGTTACTCATCCAGATAGTCTTTTAGAAGAGTACTAGCTAAATCTTGATGGGGTACAAGCAATTAGTTTCCCAGAAGAAATAATCACTTAAGAATCCCCAGTGAAAGAATATGAAAACAAATATATGTATCTATATGCATGTCTGGGACATTGTGCTGTACACCAGAAACTGACACATTGTAACTGACTACAATTCAATTAAATAAAAAAACAAGAATCTCCAATAATGTGTGGTGTGTGGAACCAGAGCTAGCACTTCCACTGCCTGATACTAACAAGCACTATGGTCTCAGAATAGACTAAAATCACCCAAGATCCTAATTTAAAGTTGGATCAGCAAGCCAGATATAACTGCCAAAGGGAAAGACAATCTTACTATCTAGAAGATGGAGGCTGCTGATGAAATTCAGGAGGAAGTCAGATCCTAGACGTCCAGCCTCACCTGGTCTCAGCCTTGGTGCTGGTGACCCCCTCCCCAGGCTCTGCAACCGTTCTTAGCAGCTAGTCCACAAAAGAACCAACACATTGGAATAGCTGGATCCAAACCAGTCAGGATAAGCCATACAGGAACTGGTGCTCCACAGATACTGTATAAATCTGCTGAAATCTTTCGGATGTGAATGTGTTATTTTAAGTGGCTTAAGTTAGGATTTTCTCAGACTTACTTGGGTGTTAAACCAAACCCAAATGTGTATTTTTTGTTAGAGCTCTGCTTTATCATTTTGTAATAAAGTTTCAATATAGAAAAAGGCGGGGGGGGGGGTTCCTTCCACGAAGAAAGAAATGATTCAGGTAGGAAGCAGTCGGGTTTTCTCTGCTCAGGGCTAGGTATTCTGGCAGCCTCCAAATGCCCTCACAAAATACGTGGTAAGAGCATTCCTTATTCTTCTGTTGGAGTGAAAGACAGCAAATATTAGGAGTGCATATATATGTGTTCACGACACTTTGGTAGGCCTCTTGGCAGATAACTCAGCAATTCTTTTCTGGACCTGTGTGATTTCATTCCTCCTTTGTCTCCTCCCATTCCCTGAACCTGAGGCAGGTCCCCTTCATCTCCAGCAATAAAACAGCCTAGACCCAGGAGAAGGGCAGTGTCAGCAGAGAGACATCCTTGCCCTCAAATTATCTGGTAGTGAGTGATCAATCATAAAACAGCACAGCAAACATGAGCAAAAATGTTTGCGGGAAAGCAGACGTGCATTGCAGGGTTGATCGGAGACATCAGCGAATTCTAGTACAATACGTTACAGGCCCTGAGCTCTGCTTAAAGATGAGACATCTCTGTCACTAACCCCCTGGGTACACACCTTCACATTGCTCAGAGAGCTGCAAGTCAGAGCTTCTCTTCTGTTTCACCCTTCCAGATTCTCCAGGACAGGTACAGAGCTACTACAACCAAAGTAGTAGCAAAAGGCACAAAAAAGTTTCCCTACTGAAAAGCCACTGCAACAGGTGCCTGCTAATGGGGTACTCTATGAAGCCAAGAAACACTGCAATCAGTTTTACTGTAACAACAGATTCAGTTCTCTCCCCACTCAACAACTCTCAAGTAGAAGCATCGCTCCAAGGGACAAGGTCAAGTCTTGCACATGTGGAACCTTCAAAAGACCGAGCCAGCCCACGCATCCTCCCTATTCTCCTCCCCTTCGGGGCTGACTTGCTGCCATTACCTGTACAGGTGACGGTTGTCTTCAAAGTCTTCCTGGCCCCATTTTCCCTTGATGTCTTCGATAACGTGATTCTTCAGGAATTTTTTTAGCAGCTGGACTGTTTGTTTGCGGGTCACTTCGGGGCCAAAGTTTTGGCTGCACCTCAGCAGCTCGTGCAGCCAGTCCACAGCTTCAGCCGCTGTGAAGCAATGTTCGTAACTTTTGAAACGACAGCGATGTTTCCGTAATGGCATCCTAGTGCGAAAAAGCTCAACTGTTTCATTCCACTAGGGGAAAAAAAGAGACGAAGGCATTGAGTAATCAATGGAGATTTTTTTTAAAGGTTATTACAACCCAAATATTGACGACGATGAATGCAATTTTTCCACTTAAAAGACGAAGGCTTGAATCTTTTTTTATTTACAAACTTTACACTCTAAAGTAACTTTTAAAAATGCATTTATTCATCCAGTAAATATTTACTGGAGATACTGCCATCAGGTTGTCCCATTATGGGAACTGAGTGGAATTTTACATTAATGAGAAAAACATGATCAAAAATAAAACTGAGTAAAACTGAGCCCAATGTGCATAATTCATTTCTTGGAGCCTTACATTTAATGTGACTTAACTTCGTTCAGCAATGTTTTACTGTTTATTACATGAAAGGCACTGTATGGGGAGAGGAAATGAGCGATGCATAAGATATAGTGCCTCATGTCAAAGCATGTTTAAAAATTCTACAGAATTTTTTCCTATTGAAAAAAACAAACAAACAAAACTAGACACCCACGCCATCATCAGCCATCCCTGCATGAAAGGAAAGGTTCACAGATGGTGTTCTTCCTACATAATTACCCAACCTCTTCTTAGGACCCTTGGCTTCCCGCCAGTCCTCCTAGAAGTCCTGAAAACCCAGACTCACTCTTAAAACCTTTCTCTCTCTCACGCTTCTCTTTCAAGGGCATGACTTTACAGACTCTGCATCTTTTACTTTTCACTTCCCTTCCTACTGCAATCAGCTCTTCAGATTTCACCTTTTTCTTTCCACAATAGTTCTGACCTCACCATTTTCTTTTTATTTTGCCCAACACTAGTTCCTTGTTTTCTCCTCTGATCAGGCTTCTTCTTCCAGGTTTCTCTTCATACTCTCTACTGCCCGACTACCTCTGCAGTTCTCTCCTACTTTCGATGGCTAACTTTCTCAGCCACAGTGATCATCCCTGAGTATACAACACCAGGTGCTTCAAGGGCCCAAGTAGGGTATGCACCCTGGATACGCGGCACCAGGCACAACACACAGGAGGTGTGCAAATGCTTACCTGGTCTTTCACTTTTCCTACTTTTCTTAACCACGTTCTCACTTCATGCAATTTAACCCTGCTCTGACTCCCAATCATGTCTTCTTCCTGGACAAATTCAAATACCTTTTTGCCTTACACATATAACCCTTTCTACTTCATTTGACACTGTAATAAGCCATGCTCCAAATTGAGCTGGTCTAGAATTAAAAGGTTTTTCTTTTTTAACTTCTCGAAACGACCTACAAAAACAACAGAAACCATACAGTAGGATAACATATAACCAGAATTTCTAAAACAATACAAAAAATTCAAATCAAGAAACAAAGGACAGACATTCCAAAAGAAAAATGGAAAAAGACTTAAACAGGCACTTCACATAAATGGATCTCCAAATTTACCATAACATAATGCAAAGATGTTCAATCTCATTAATTAGCAATGAAATGCAAAAGGAATCTACAGTGCATTACCACTCCATGTCTACAGAATGGCTAAAATGAAAAGATAGGCAACACTACGAGCTAGTTGGTATGTGGAGCAACTGGGAATCTCATACATTGCTGGAAAGGATATAAATCGGTACTACTACTTTGCAACACAGGTTAGCAGTACCTACAAAAGCTAACTAGATGAGCACCATATAACCCAGCAATTCCATTCTTAGGTATATATCCAACAGAAAAATGTGCACCCAAAAACCACACTGTTCATAATAGCACCATTCTTAACAGACAAAAACAACCCAAGTCAACCAACATGAGGACAGATAAACTGTGATTTATTCACTCAATGGAATGCTGTAAAGAAATGAGAATGAATGAACTATTGCTACATGCAATAACACAGATGAACAACAAAGATAAAATGTGATATTGATATAAGAAGGCCAGATACAAAAAAAAACACTATATGATTATATTTACATACAGGTTAAAAGCAGGCAAAACTAGTCATGGCATTAGAAATCATAATAGTGGTTGATCTGTACGGAATTAGAGACCGGGATGGGCAAGGAGGTACTTCTAGGGTGCAGTAATGGCATCTTTCTTGATCTGGGCTTTGTTACATGGGGTGGTCACACTGAAAACTCATTCAGTCATACACATAATTTGTGCACCTTTCTGTACATGTTATGCTGAATAAAGGGCTAAAACCAAAACACACAAACACATATACACCCATATGCTCATATATTGAAATCCTCCATGGGAGCAATCCACAATTCTAATTACCAACCTGAAAGTTGGGAAGTATGAACTAGCTGATGGTGCTGATAAATGTGGAAGAGAGTGGGGAGGGAAGCTGGAGAAGAAATCAGAAGAGTTGATGAAAGAGGGACTGAATGTAAACAGAAGAAAAGCAGGGCAAATGGGCTAGAATGAAATGATGAACAGTAGAAAGAGAGCCCATGAAGAGTCCATGAATGTTGATTTAACTTCACTCTCCACCCTTCTCCCTCACCAGGTTATGATGAAGTTTCACAAGACCATGAATACAAAAGCCCTTTGTAAGAGATAAAGCATTCCTCAAACATAAAGGATAATATATATAAAATTTCCAGCATAAGCTCTTAAAACAAATTATGGTTTCAGTCTATTCTGGAGCTGGAAGCAAGTGCGGGGGCAAAATCAAGATCCAAGGAGGACTCGCAAGTTGGCACAGGTCAGGTACTTAGTGTTAGAATAAGATCTGGAATCCTGTTCTAAGCTCTCCTTGTCAAATGGTCATTCCATTAGACCAAGAGCCTATGAACATTAACATGGATTTAAACAATTTCCACCTACTTTTAATCATTGGTTGTTTGGGCTTTTTAAACATTCTCTGCTAACATTTAGCTTTCATTTCAGTCTTGACTAAGTATGTTGAGAGGTGAAGAAGAAAAAAGAGGTAATAAAAAAAGATTTTTATTTATTTTATGTTGATTAGGTTATCATAATCATTATTCAGTAAACTTAATACATAGTATTTTATGCATTACTTTATAAAAGAATGAAGACATGGCTCTCTGGGACTCAGTATTTCAAAATATAAGTAAATACGACTATTATTTGACTCAGGCTGGTTAGCAGTTCCTCTGTTTGTACCTTTAATTACAGAATAGTGTACACTGTAACATATTAAATGCCAAAGTACATACAACAGTCTGCCCTGTCTCTCTCCAATCTCACACAGCTGTCACTCATATACACACATACATAGAATTCTTTCCTTTGTATGTATGTGTTGTTTATTATTACTGTTGCTGCTTGCTTCCTTTTTTAAGAAATGAGATCAACCATATTATACACATTATCCTACAAGTTGCTTTTGCACTGAACATACCAGGATATCTGTGTCAATACCTGTCGACCTAGCCCATTCTATTTTTTTTTGATTGAAGTATAGTCGGTTTACAATGTGTTAATTATTGGTATATAGCATAATGACTGTGTTTAT